TCACATGAGGTGAGGTTTTGAGATCAGCTGTAGATGCATCGCGCAGAATGTCTGGCAGAGCTGATCGAACTGGGCCTCGGAGTGTTCCCTCCAGGTCTGGATGTCTGATCCCTCCTTGGTATGTGCCGGCCATCTTAGGCTCATCATGCGGTCTCTGGGTATGGGAGATTCCAGAGATACCGGGATGTCCCCCACCGGTCCAGAGGGGGGTTAGCTGGGAATCAGGATTGTTGCTTGTCAATGAGCACTCCAGGTCTGGAGATAGGCTGCTTCCCCCAAACATCAGGTCATCAGTCTGGTGAATATACTCCATTGACTACAACCCTCTGTTGCCTGTCACTCAGCCAATGCCTTACCCATTCAACAATATTGGAATCCAAGCTTAAAGATTACAATTTATTGATAAGCCTTCTATGTGCATCAGTGTCAAAAGCCTTACTGAAATCTAGGTAAGCAATGTCTACTGCACCACCCTGATCTATTATTTTAGTTACCCAATCAAAAGAATCAATAATATTAGTTTGGCATGATCTCCCTGAAGTAAACCCATGTTGTCTCTGATCTTGAAATCCATGTGTATTTAGATGTTCATCAATCCTATCCTTTAACATGGTTTCCATTACTTTCCCCACTACTGAAGTAAGACTTACTGGCCAATAGTTGCCCGACTCCTCCCTACTACCTTTTTTTGTGAATGGGCACAACATTCGCTAACTTCCAATGTTCTGGGACTACTCCTGTTAACAATGATTGGTTAAATAAATATATTAATGGTTTTGCTAGTACACCACTAAGCTCTTTTAATAACTTTGGGTGTATTACACCAGATCCCTAAGACTTATTTGTCTTTACTCTTGACGGTTGAAATAATTGATATTTCTGTAAACTTACATGTAATAAATGACTCATTTGTCCTTTTTACTAACTGAAGTCCCTTTCCTTCATTTTCATCTGTGAATACTGAACAAAAATATTCATTGAGGCAGTCAGCTAGACCTTTATCCTCTTCTACATACCTTCCTTCTTCTATTTTTAATCTAACTAATCCTTGTTTTACTTTCCTTTTCTCATTTATGTATCTAAAAAAATGTTTTGTCCCCTTTTTTTACTGCCTGTGCTATTTTCTCTTCTGTGTGTGATTTGGAAGCTCTTATAACTTGCTTAGCCTCTTTCTGCCTAATCTTATAGATCATTCTGTCTTCCTCACTCTGGGTTTTTTTATAATTACTAAATGCTAACCTTGTTTTTTACTATTTTGGCCACATCTGCGGAGTACCACAGTGGTTTCTTGATTTTTTTGCTTTTACTAACAAGCCTAATGCAATTTTCTGTTGCCTTTAGCAGTGCCATTTTTTAATAATTCCATTTCTATTGGACTCCATTTAAATTTCTCCAGTCTGATAATGACTCCTTTACACAAATTCTAATTTTAGAAAAGTCTGTGTGGTGTGACATCTTATATTAAACCACACTGACTGATGATCACTAGATCCTAAACTTTCACCTACAGTAAAATCTGATACCATCTCATGATCAAGGTTTGATCCGGTGTTGCCATACTGCCTCAAAGGCTATATAGGCCTAGAAAACTAATCTGGAGAATATCAATGTGTAAAAACTGAAATGGGCAAGCCCTATTTTGACCCTGTAACTTTCCAAAACACCATAAAATCTTTACATGGGGGGCATTGTCTACCAATAACTTTGTAAATAAGTTACAATGCTTATAATTTTTAGAGTAATTAAAGCGGTATTATGGTTGGGATACAAATACAGCCTTATCCAGTATATGTTCCAATATCAACCTTAGAGTTACATAGTTACATAGCTGAAAAGAGACTTGCATCCATCAAGTTCAGCCTTCTTCACATATGTTTTTGCTGTTGATCCAAAAGAAGGCAAAAAACCCAGTCTGAAGCACTTCCAATTTTGCAACAAACTAGGAAACAATTCCTTCTTGACCCCATAATGGCAGTCAGAAATCTCCTTGGATCAAGCAGTGATTACCCCTCTAATTAGAAATTATATCCCTGTATGTTATGTTTTTTGGAAGTATTTATCCAATTGCTGTTTAAACATCTGTATGGACTCTGATAAAACCACATCTTCAGGCAGAGAATTACATAAATAGCAAAGAAATATAGAAATGGCGCTAGAGGATAAAGTAAGTGAACGGTGCTGCTATACCCAAGTATATCACTTGGGTATATATCACTATATATACTTAAAGAGGATACAACAAAGCATAAAAAAGGTAAAAGCGCGCGCACACACACACACACCAAGGAGGTGGTTTACCTGATGTATAATAAATGGTAGGTATCTCCTCCTTATATACAGTAAGTATATTAAATATTGAGTTACCTATACAGAAAATATAAACACAAAACAAAACATAGTGTAATCTGTTTATCGTACACGAAAAGAATGGAAATTCTGAGTTGGAAACACTCACACTTTGATGAGCCGTTTAAAGTAGGCTCGGAACTTATACGGCTTTTATGTCACTTAAATGGGACATACACATTTCCTTTACTCTTCAGGCAGGTTCTCCATTGATCTTAGTAGTCATCTGTTGTAAAGTAGGAGTCAGGAGCCAGGAGTATCAGGATAAAGTATTTATTTATAATAAAACAAAAATAAATATAAAGAAATATTGCACAACGCGTTTCAACCATCTACTAGTGGTCTTCCTCAGAGAATTACATATCCTTATAGTTCTTACTGTAAAAAAACCTTTTCTTTGACTTAGATTAAATCTCCTTTCTTCCAGCCTAAATGTGTGACCTCGTGTCCTATAGCCCTGTTTATTCCCATTAATGTCAGAGTGACTGAGCAGAGGCAAAGATGGAGGAAGCAGCAGAACTACCATTAAGGGTGCAAAGTGGGTGGCTAATGCACTTAATGATACCCAGTAATCATGTGTCATCAAGGGCCTGGCTAGATATAACCTTGCAAAGATGGGCAAATGGTAGGTCCCTAGACAGCAAAGCAAAGGGGGAGTTGAACGACAGATGGCAAAGTACCTTTTTGACATCCTTGTGATGGGTGGGCCCCAAATAATTCTTGTACCAGGGCCCTCTCTGTGTTAGTTCAGTCACTGGATGGAGGCTAATATTTAGTAAATACTAGTAATTCTATAACAGTAAACATTTGAAGAATGCACTAGCTTCCCTGGAGTGAAAAGGAACATACTAATTCAGGTTGAAAAACAACTCTAGCCTATCAATTTCAATCCTTCCCATATTCCTGTTCCTGCTCTTCATTCACAAAATCTCACAAGGAAGCACTGTCTCTGTATTTCATAGCAAAAACCCACTGACCTTTGGGAGCTATGAGTAAGTCACTTGTACATGTACCCGGTATCCTGCTCATTTACTCCCAGCATATGCTTATTCACAGAGGCACTTGTAGATAGGCACCTAGTAACTATGTAATGCAGTCTCATAAACATGTAACCACACCTAATGTTTACAACAAGACACAAAATAAATCGTATTGCTGTTTAATGTTCAAAACAGGGCTTGTGCAGTACAAATGAAGACTTGTGGAGCAGTAATCTTAAGAGTTGCTGGTAGGTTAGAGTGCTCCAAGTCAAAGGTGAATTTAACAGATAACACAGTCATATCCTTGCAATGACTTGACTATTTTAGGTTACAATATGTAATACAACCTACATAAACCAAGCTCTGAATATAACTGTTGTGAGTCATGGTTTGTTGAGAAAAAGCCACTAGGTTGATAGCAATGTACTAACTTAGAAAAAAAAATAACTACATTCCAGACTCTAGAGTCTAGATTACAGTCTTTTTTTGCCTAAACAATGCAATTTGTTCATTTGCCAAAGGGCACTGTTTAATGAATACACCCTAACAATTCTAGATTGTAAACATCTTATTATTATTTATATATACGTCGGTTTTGTTATATACAGATTACATCCATATGCCAATTTATAGTTTGAATTACCATTTTTGTGATCTATATCCCTTTAAAGTATTGTTCATATTTAGAGACCGTCAGATATTTCCATTAGATATTGTACGTTAGTGTGGGACATATGCATTAAAATCGCATAATCATATTACATAATTATTCTCAGAAAACCCTACAAGACATTTCTTTGAAAATTAAACTAAACTAAAAAGACTGCATTCATATGAAGCTAAAGTTCATTGTAGTGTGTCCTTGTACCAGAACAATATATCTGTCTGTTTTAGTAGTACATACAAATAAGTTTGCATACTAATATATAACAGAAACGAAGATTTACCGTATCATAAACCAAAATATTTTGTCAAAACTGATCATTTTTATGGTCCGCCTACTTGCCTTATTTTACTTGAATCCATATGCACTAAAGAATTCAAAGTGAATTTCAAATTTAAAGTCAAAATTGCAGAGCCAGAATAATTCTCAGTCAGCTATGCTTTCATTTATATTACTCGGGCCTTGAAATTTAAATTCACTTTGAATTATCACATTAGTAAATAACCCTGTATAACTATTGCAGTCTGTTTTTCACTGAGCACATCTAATTTCATCTAAGTTCAAATGTTTAAATCTGTTCCTTTATCATAAAGAAGGTGACTTATGAAAGACAATCAAAACCTACTGCTAGATAAAGGCAGAAAAGCCAAAGGCAGTTCACCTATATGAGTGGAGCATGCAGTGGTATTAATGGACACCTACCCTATGAAAAGGGTCGTCTAGTCCTGATATTGTAGCAGTATCACTTTAAATTCAGCATATACATACATGGAAAGAAAAACATATACAGAAAAGTAATAGTGTACATCTGTATAATAATTGGTCGTTGTGCAATAATCAAACAGAATGCCAACTCACATGGTATAAAGCCTAAAATGGGATTGGCTCAAATCACTTGTGGTGGTACCTGCCCCCTTTAGAAATGTTGATGGGATCCCTCAGAGGTAGGAGATGCAAGGAGGATACAATGGAAAATCATATAGTGAAGTAATTCTTAACAAAAGGGGGAGTATACTGTATCTTTAAACGAATGCTCACCTTGTTCAGAGCCCAGGTACTCTGCTCTGAGTGTATTAGCGTGAGTGTCAATAAGGGAGACACCTTCTCTCTTTGGAGCAGATTCGATGAAGATCAAAAGGGACTTAGATAAAAAATAAAATTTATTCCGCCAGCAGGCAAAAAAAATACAAACAAATGATAAAAAGAAATCACAATAAAGTAAGAAGTGTCCCATAAGTATCCTTTAATTCCGAGACGCGTTTCACCCTACTTGAGGGCTCTCTCAATCAGTGTTCACTGCTCCTCTGTTCTGTCCTGTTTAAATATGGTGGTCTGATTCCCCATTGGTGGATTTCATTTCTAATTAACCAATCCGATACCTTGTTTGGGGGGAGTGTATTGTGGCTTCTTGTATCTCGTTTTGCTGATTATGTCCGTGACCGGAGGTGACGTCAGGCACGTTGCCGCGTCACTTCCGGTAATGCGATCGCCATTTTACTTATGGGCAGCAAGTAGGGAGAATGACAGAGCACCATATATTCGTGCCTGTCACTCCCATTATGCCCATCAATGTGTATTCATTAGACAGTATGTTTTGGCAAATATATATAGTATAGTGTATACACATATTCCATATCTTATGTGTTAGAAGGCATCCTCATTTGCAAGAAAGAGCAAAAGGAGTGTTGGAGACAAAAACGAAAAATATACATGTCAATATATAATAAAAATTAATGTTTTTCAAAAAAAAAAAAATGACATATCCATAGCATGTATATAAATCCATTATTCTGGTTAGTATTATATTAAAGCAACTTTAATCCTTTCAGAAAAATAGCTGTTAATGTAAATTGAATAATAAAATAGGATTCAATTACTATCTAACGTTAATTATTTATGAATCCTAGTTCTATTCAGGAATCACTTGTGATTAAATAATCACTTGAAAACCTATAGGGTTTGCTAAATATAAATGAATATATATTATAAGATAAATTATTTTAGTCTAAATGAATAATAGAAAATTGATACATGCTTATTGGAAAAGTGTCCAATTCTCATAAAAAATTACACATTTCAAAGTCACCGTTGAGGCCGGTGGGAATCATGGTATTGAGATTGAAAATCCATCTCATCTCATGTTGTCCCATCTTCCTCATTGGATCCTCGCCCCTCCAATTAATATTGACAATTTGAATACCCATAAAAGTCAATTGGGTTGGATCACAATTGTGACTTTGTTTAAAATGGGCTGAAAGGCTGTGTTTGTCGAATCCCTTCCTAATATTATGGATATGTTCCTGTATTCTTATATGAAGGGCTCTGGTGGTCCTGCCTACATAACTTAAACCACATTGACATGTGATAAGGTAAATAACTTGCTTGGAGTAGCAAGTTATAAGTTGATTTATTTTAAAATTATTATGCTGTTTATTTTAAAGTTGAGATTCATAGGAAGGGAATGAAGTTATATGTCTCTTTTTTTGGCCGCTATTTCTGCAAGCACTACATGTGCCACAGCCATAGAAGCCATTTTTTTGATTGAAAACATTTCTGATCGTAGTATGTTCTTTTATATGGTTACGTACCAAATTCGTCTTTAAACTAGGAACTCCTCTATAAGTGGATTACAGATTGGCGTAGCTGGGGGCGAATCTGGTGCCCATCGCCGTACCGCAGATCTGAAGAAAAAAAATCGCCTCCAAACCAAAAATAATTGTTGGTGAGGATCCATTTAATTCCCTCGACAATGAAATCTATCTGATCACTAGGGAATTCCCTAAATTCCTCCAGAAAAAACCTTGTGGCCTGACATCCTCGTTCATGAGAGACGATGGTATAAAGTGAACTTACATCTGCTGTTACCAAGAAAAAATTGTCCTCCCATATTTGATTTTTCAGGATGTTAAGTATACTTAATGTATCTTTAAGATGGCTAGGACAACGTGAAACTGCAGATTGAAGACACCTATCTATGTACTGGGACAAATGGCTAGATATAGAGCCGATGCCGGACACAATGGGTCTTCCTGGAGGATGAAATCTATCCTTGTGTATCTTAGGAAGTTGGTAAAACACTGGGGTCCTTGGATGTAGAACATTGAGGAACTTATGTTCCTTATTATTCAGAATCCCCAGTAGTTTACCCTGATCTATGAGTAGGTTATAAGTTATTTTCATATCATTAATGGGATCCTTTTGTAGTTTTTTATATGTTTTTGCATCCATCAATAGTCTTTGGCATTCTTTGATGTAATTATCTTTTTCCATTAAAACTATCCCCCCTCCCTTATCGGCTGGTTTAATTACCAATGTGCCATCTTTCTTAAAGCGGCACTGTCATGGCCAAATCCTGTTTTTTTTTTAACCCCCCTCCCGCCTCCACTACATCTAACTGACACCCTAGTCACCCCCAAATGCCCCTAAGCCCCCCACATTACCTATTTTTTTAATCTTTATTTTCTGCCCCGATCTTGATTCAGGGCGCAGCCATCTTTGTGTGGGTAGATGAAGTCCCTGTGGGACACGTCATCAGCCCACACTAGATAGCACTGAGAGATTCCCGCACATGCCCAGTAAAACACCTGGACATGCGAACGGGAATTTCGTCTATTCATTCATTCATCAGACAGACGAATGAGTGAATAGAAATATCAGCCGAACAAACAAACACTGAGTATCAGTGTTTGTTTGTTTGATCAGTTTATTGCAAGGAGGGAGCTACTGGCATGCAGCTCCCTCCTTGTAATATGTAAAGAGAGAAGCGGCAGGGAGCAGTGCTCCCCACCACTTCCAAAGCCCCCCATGTCCTCCCTCACTCTATGGGGGTCAATATGACCCCTATAATAGCACAAGGGAGATTAAAATCTCCTGAATGCCCCTACTCGCTATACCGCGAGTAGGGGCATGTCACTAAACACTAAAAAAAACAAAAAACTATTGGCCCCCACCCCTAAACGACGGGTGGGGGCCCTAAAGTAAAATAAGGGGGGAGACCTATTGTCCCCCCTGCCCCCACCCCTGTGCGGCAGGTGAGGGCCATAATGATAATAAGGGGGGTGACATACTGTCCTCCCCCCAAGCCCCCACTCCTGGGCGGCAGGTGGGGGCCATATTGATAATGAGGGGGGGACCTACTGCCCCCCCCGGCCCCCACCCCTGCGCAGGGGTGGGGGCCATATTGATACCCACCAGAGTGTTCTTAGCCTAATTGCAGGGCGGGGCAAGGCTTTATAAGCCTTCCCCTGCCCTGCGGAGCTCAGTCTGCGCGGAGCCCTCCATGGGTGAAGATGGATTATTTTTTGCGCTCGGGATTTTTCTTTTTCGTCTGTTTTGTTTTTTTTTTACGCTCAGGATTTTAATTTTTTTTACGTTCGACGGTTATGATGGCTTTTTATTTGGCCTTTTTTGGGGCTGAAAAATGAAGATTTGAGAAAAAAGAAGACGTAGAATGGTAAGTTTAATTTTATTTTACAGGTTAGTTATTTTATTCCCCCTCACTATTTTTTAGGGTGAGGGGGGTAGGTAGGGACTTTTTATTTGGGTGGGGGGGGTGGGTGACTAGGGGCTTGGGAACCCCTAGTCACCTTGTGGGGGGGGGGAAATTGACTTAGGGCCCAGGGGTGGGGGCCAGGGGGGAGGACAGTAGGCCCCCCCCTCATTATCTTTATGGCCCCCACCCGCCACCCAGGGGTGAGGGCCGGAGGGGGGTGGACAGTAGGTCCCCCCCCCTCATTATCATTATGGCCCCCACCCGCCGCCCAGGGGTGGGGGCCAGGGGGAGGAAAGTAGGTCCCCCCCCTCATTATCATTTGGTCCCCACCCGCCGCCCGGGGGCGGGGGGGAGGACAGTAGGTCCCCTCCCCCTCATTATCTTTATGGCTCCCACCCGCCACTCAGGGGTGGGGGCCGGAGGCGGGGTGGACAGTAGGTCCCCCCCCTATTATCATTATGGCCCCCACCCGCCGCTTGGGGTGGGGGCCGGGGGGGAGACAGTAGGTACCCCCCTCGTTATCATTATGGCCCCCACCCACGCCCAGGGGTGGGGGCAGGGGGGAGGACAGTAGGTCCCCCCACTCATTATCATTATGACCCCCACCCACAACGCAGGGGTGGGGGCGGGGGGACTTTAGTTCTCCCCCCTTATTTTACTTTAGGGCCCCCACCCGTTGTTTAGGTATTAGTATTAGTAAATGTGGCTCAGTATTAGTAAATGTGGCTGAAAGACCAATTTAGGTCTTTCAGCCTTTTAGTAGATAACTCCCTGATACCGTGGGAATTAGGGAGTTATCTACTAAGCGGCTGCAAGATGCAGCCACAGCACGAATAGGATCGCAGTTTCATTCATTCGAATGAAATTCAGATCCAAATAAAATGCCGAATTGCGTTCTAAAAGAAACGAACATACTGTTCTCATTCAGTTAGAACGCAATTCGACAGTTTAGTGTAAAATGACAGGAAGCATCGTGGGAACACAGAGGAAAGGTAAGAATTATGGGAAAATTGCTCTGACCAGCGGAAATGAAGCACACTTTGCTCCTCCGCTGGTCAGAACTGGTCAAGCGGAGGAATCCTCCATAAGGCAAAGAGTCCCTACTTTGTCTTATGATTTAAAAGAAAACTAAAGAAGACAGGAAGAAAAGAATAACAGATCCTGAGAGAGGGGGAGAAGAGGAAGAGATTGAGGAAAGGTAAGTTCAGCATGACAGTGCCGCTTTAAGATCTTTTAAGGTGTTTCTTTCCTCATTGTTAAGGTTATACTCCCATGTTTTTGGTGCTTTAAGATTTCTAACTTCCTTCATTACCATCTTCTCGAACGTGATAATCTCTTCTGAGACAAGAGAGTGAGGATAGAAGGTAGATGGATCTTTAAGATTAGAATGGATAAAATCATCTTGAGGGGGATCAGTAGGGTTCATAGGGTTTTTTAGAAAGAACTTTTTAAGGCATAATTTTCTTTTAAATTTTTGGAGATCCACATATACATTAAATTTATCTATTGGTTTAGTTGGAGCGAATTTTAGACCTTTTGATAAAAGGGTAATTTGAGTGTTAGTCAATGTTCGAGTTGTGAGGTTGAAGATACCTTCAAATTCTATGGATCCCATTTGCCTTGTCTTTCTCTTCTGTACTGCTGTTCCTCCTCTACTTCCCCTTCTTCTAAGCTCCTTGTTCGTTTCACCAAAGGTCTGTTTTGTATATCCTTGTGTTTGTCCCTGGTGTATACCCCT